TAAGGTCCATGTGCTGAGCGGGACATGTCGACTGTCCACAGATTTCCATGAACCCATCAGTGAGAACATGGGGAGGACACATGTCCTATTTCAACCTTAAGTGGGTAGACTTATAGTTATTTATTTGTTTTGTTAGTTTTAGATTTAGTAGTAATGGCTATAGACATGGATTAATACTTTATCTCCAGCCTGCGGGTGTACACAGCATTTTTGCTTCTGGAGCTATCAATACCAGGAACTGGATTGAAATCATCGGAAACTGCAGGCATCTCTGTAAACTACCAAAGCTACTTTGTGACAAAATGCATTTCTCAGTGGCTGTAATGTGATACTAACACAAAACCGGAAGTCTACTCAGTTCTGCTACTCATGAAGCAAATGACCAAGGGCACCAAATTTCCACTCTGGAAAATTCCATTAACAACAAAGACATCCAGACGGTCTTGAGCCACTCACCTTAATTACCATTGCTGGTCATCACTTCCTCCCTGATTCTATAGGGTAGATTTATTTGCACAATCATCTGATCACATACTTTGATTGGACTATATTAACGTACATTGGTCAGTCTGTGGCCCACACGAGTTTGGTGGTGTATTTCCTACACCTCTAGTTGATACCTCTTTTTCTTTTGGCAAGGTGAATTTTAAATAAAAACTTTTTTTATAAAACTTTTTAAGAAATCAACTAATGTTTTTAGTTTCCCTCCAAATCTAGGAAACCATTTATGGTAGAGTTTTGGCTTTTATTTATCTTTTTATTAGTTACTCATGTTGGTTTGAGGTGATTTTACTCAAGGCTCCAAAGTTAGGAAGAGGGAACCGACTGACCTCAGAGAAAGGAAGTGGGTACAAATTTTACCTGCTTCCTGAGAGCTTACCTATCATGGACTCCTCAGAGTCACTTCGCTCAGCGTGTTTGGTATGAAACGAATCCAGATGTAACAGGGCCCTTTAAGACGGTGATATTCAAAGTGCTAGTCCACAGTGAGGTAAGGAAATTGTCCAGCAGGTCAAACAGTGCATTGCTTCCTTCATTAAGAAAGTCTTCTCCTAGGAAAAGTTGGCTTAATGCCATGCAAACAGCTAAATGAAACCTCCAGATGCCCCGCCTCTTAGCTGCACTGTTGAAAGACGCAGATAAATGGTGGCCCAATGTTTCTACAGCTTAGGCAGCTTCCTGAACCTCTCTGTGCCTCAGGGCCTGAGAATGATGACACTGGTACCGTGGAGAGGGAAGATGTGAGCCAGAAGCTCAGTGGCTGGGAAGAGTAAACGAGACGTCAGCAACGAGGGTGCAGAGGTGGTAGAGGATGATGGCTCCCTAAGACGGATGACTTGAAACAGTGGGCCTCTAGCAGGAGAGGGAGTAATGGTCAGAAATCAGGCACACGGGCCCTAAAGTACCTGGGGACGAGGGGAGGGTGGCTTCCCTTCAAGATGGCTGCAGGGGAACCGTGTGATGCCCTCGGGGCATTTTTGTTGTTAGTGCTGTAAGTCAGTTCGGAGATTCTGAGTCCTCGCGGCCCTGTGTCCAGCAGAGCAGAACCTGCCCAGTCTTTTTGAGCCATCCTCTCACCTTCCATCCCTGTATCAGACAATGCTCCGCTGCTATTGACAGGGTTTTCACGGCCAAGTTTTTGGAAGTGGGTGGCCAGCTCCTTCTTCCTATCTCAGGGCATAGCCAAGGTTTTATTTGGGAGAAGGAGGTAAAGGGAACTTTAAGGAGATGTTGGGGATATAGGGGGCTTGTGGGTGACAGGGAGCGAGCCCAGAGGGCCCCATGGAAGGATTCATCGGGGAGGTGAAGAGATGAGCACTGGCTCAGCCTGGGGCATGTAGAGCAATTGCAGATGAGAGGCAGATAAGGAGGGATGCTCAGAGAGGGTACCGAGGACTTCCTGTGGGGATTGAAGGAAACAGGACATGCGGCAGGTTGCCATAAGTCCCGATGCTCTCTGGGAGCAGCATGGGAAGAAATTCTCAGCTCAGTGATGTGACAGCTTCAGTTGTCCTCCCACACCTGACATCTCGGAGAAGTGGGCTGCTTTGTTGACTTCATACTCCATAGGCTTGTTGTCAGTTAACTGAAACAATATAATTAAACAGTATTTGTCTGTTGTTTTTGTTACCATTTGGCACACTTTTCAACAAATATTTATATAGCACCAACTGTATGCACAGCACTGTGAGGCTCTGTCTGGAATGCAAATACAAGCACAAAATTGTTACCTGTGCCCCAAGTGGCTGCCAGTCTCATAGAGAAATTCATTCTGTTTAGAGGAAATACATCGGCAAAAGGCCATCATTCCTGTAAACTATTGTCCCAAACTAACAAAGCAAATCGGTGCAAAATAGCCCATTTCTTAAAAGATGCATTTACTGGAGGGCTGGCCCCATGGCCTAGTGGTTAAGTTTGGTGCACTCTGCTTCGGGGACCAGGGTGTGGCTCCTGGGCACGGACCTACACTACTTGGCAGCAGCCATGCTGTGGTGATGACCCACATACAAATAGAGGAAGATTGGCACAGATGTTAGCTCAGGGTGAATCTTCCACTAAAAAAGAAAAGAAAAGAAAAGAAAAAAACCCTGATGCATTTACTGCTTTCAAGGTACCATGAAAAAACTTGTCTCATCAATTTTAGTTTTGAAGATGATGAAATTGTGGCTTTATCCATAGCTTTACAAACTTATTTCCCACCAACTTTTTCTACTGCTTGGAATATTAGAAAAAAAAAGCAAAGTGTAAATCAAATTCAAAGAAAAGTTAAATACTTGCCTTGATCTGGTTAGAGTGTAAAGTAAATCCCATGGCAATTTAATTCCCACAGAACATGTGACAGCCATGGAGTTAAATGTTAGATTTAAATAGGGCAGCTAATTCCCTGCAAGAATTACGTTTGTCTCTTCATATGTGCACTCTACCTAATGAACACATTGCTCTCCTCTTAAATTCAGGCGTTGCTACTGGAGCATGAGAAATTAATATACATTCCTGTATTCATTAATATTGTTGCTCATAAAAGACTTTTTGATTTTTATCACCCTGAGTTCCCAGAGGCCCATGGAAGCAGTCATAGCTCCGAACCACATGAATCATCAGGAAAAAATCCTATTAAAGCAAAACCTTAATCACCACTTGCATTTTATATCAAGTTGTATCTAAAAAGAAACTGTATGGCTCTTCCGTCAACATAGAATGCATAAATAATGGTGGTATAGTCCTTCCACAGAATACTATAAAGTAGTAAAAGCAAAAGGATTACTAATACACGCACAATATAACTCAATCTCAAGGGCAGTGCTGAGTGAAGGATGCGAGGTACGGAAGAAGCCTGTAGTACGATGCCAGTGACGAGGTTCGGAAGCCGGCAAAGCCGAACAGTCTCTCGTTAGGGACGTGTCATTGGTAGCAAACCTGTATGGAATTGATTGACACAAAATTCAGGGTAGTCATTAGCCCGGGGAGGTGAGTGGGAAGTGGGTCCGATCAAGAAAGAGCACGGGGGCTGTCAAGACACAGCGCTCTTCTGCTTCTTACATGGGATGGTGGGTTCACAAGTATTCATTTTATTATCATTTAAACTGTGGGGATAGGCTGTTGTATTTCCTTTTTTTCTGTGGCTTTGGAAAGCTCTCTGAGGGAGTGAGAATTTGAATTGGCCTTTGGATGGTGAACTACACAGAGAGGAAGCTGAGTGATTATTTTTGCTTTTTACTCTACCCTTATGTATTTCTATTTGTCTTGTCATGCTTATCACAGTTTACAATTGAAAAGAAACTTTGTGGTATAGAAGAAAAAACATAGACTCTGCGTTCAGAGAGACCTGGGTTCAAATCCCAACTCCTCCATTCGCACGCTGTGAATCACTGAAATCCTGACGCCTCAGTTTCCCCATGTACGAAATGCAGGGGAATGCTTCACAGGGTTCTGAGAGGCGAATGGCAGAACGTTCTTGGTCACACATTCCAAGCTCTAGAGGGCATCACAGTCTCTTTTTGATACTGCCATTTACGGATGAGTAGTACAGAAAAGAATGGTGGCTGTGACCTGGTGGAACCCTTGTGCTGAGGGCTTCGTCGTTTGATGCGCCGGGTGAAGAGGCATAAGCTCGCACTGCATCTGTGTCCTCGACAGTGTCCTTTCAGGCTTCTCCGCTGGCCCTGAGGGTTGCTTCGCTCTGTTCTCCACCTTGCAGCTAAAGAACTTCAGAGGACCCTTGACTGCCTCCTGCCTCATTCTCCAGGAAGGTGTAGAGCTGAGTGACGTGGGCCAGCTCTGCTCTAGACTAGAGTGGGAAGTACTCTCTCTTCCCCAGCTGCATCTATTCCTGTCTCTTCTTGGCTTTAGAGAGCCCAGACTAGGGCATGGTCCTAGAAAGACATTAAGAAAGCCAGCATCAGCAACATCTAGACATTTTTGGTCTAAATGAAAGGAGTCACTGAGGCTCAACCATGGCCTAGCCCACCTCACTGGGATGGTAACACCGGGGTGCGGACAAAGCTCTAATAAGCAAAGCACACATCTTGCATTTTCTTTTTGTGTCCCTGAGCCTCTCACCCTCAGGAGTCTGAGGCAGCCTAACAAACAAACAGGGATTCCTGTGCTCTCTCTGCCTTTCCCCACTAGACACAGGACCAACAAATATATGCAAAGCGTCCAGCATGGAAGAGGCCTGCTATTAACGTCCATTCCTTTATCATTTCTCCCCTTTCTTAGAATGTAAAGTTCATTAATGACATTTCACAGCCAACAGCTAGGTTGCAACTTTAGTTCTATGGAAAACATTAATTGCGCTCTGGAGAGCAAGCCAATGCAACCACCTTCCAGGCATTTGGGGTGGACTGTGAGGACAGACACTGTGCCTCTCCTTTCGTTCGCTGTGTGCAGAGGAGAGGATCTTGGGCCTGCAAGCTCAGATGCAGGCCCCTGACTCCGCACCTTCTGCCCTCGCCTCCACGTGCTTCCATCCCAATTTCCGTTCTGTCTTTGTTTTACAGTTGTTCAGCACATCAAGCGACATAACATTGTTCTGAAAAGGGAGCTAGGCGAAGGAGCCTTTGGAAAAGTTTTCCTAGCTGAATGCTATAACCTCTGTCCTGAGCAGGACAAGATCTTGGTGGCAGTGAAGGTAAGAGAACACTCCAGAATGTCTCATTATCCATGGTCACACTAATGTGTGGAAGTGTTACTTTACTTTATTTTATTTTATTTTAGTGGCCAACTCAGGAGCAAATTACGTGTGCTATGGTGGATGTGTTCAAATTCCTTTAACTAAATGGACAGTGGGCAGGACATATGAGGCACATCTAACTGTCAGAAATTCTTCTCAAGGTCAGCCTAGAAGTCTGCAGGCTGTGAATAGCTCTGAGCTACCCTTCTAAGTCAATGCTAACTAAATTCTGGATGGAGGTCGGGGGGGTCCATCAGAATTCAACCAGCTAAGTGTTGGAGATTCAGCCTATCTCCTAGGATTGCTCAGTCCTTGTGCTAAGCTCATCTGGAGCTTGTCTTGTTTTCGAGATTCTGCAAGGAAGACTGTGGAGTTCACTTCCCCTCTCAGCCTCTGCTCCACCGAGATCTTCTGTTATACCTTACCTTGTCCCTACAAACTGTCTCCAAGGCCCCAGGGTTTTACGCAGGCATTATTACAATCTGGGGTGGAGGGCATCTCTTGTGGATTCCACTACCCTAGGAGACACAAGCTTTTACTAAAATAAAGAAGTCTGATAATCCTTCGTCCTAGGCATTTCCCCATAAACCCAAAAAGGAGACTTAATCTTCAATAAGATAAACATTATTGAAGGGGATAAAATTTCTGCTGAGCTCTCTAAACAGAAAAATTAACCAAAATAGCACAAAAGACTTCAGCAGATCTTTTACATATGCATGGTCAAAATTTTTTAAAAAATGACATCTCACTGAAGTATTGGATAATATATGTAAAACATTTATAAAATGAGTTGAAGGATGAATATGGACATGGCTAATGTAATAAAATGTAACTTCTTGGCTTGATAAAAGATAACTGAGTTTTATTTTTTTGGTTTTTGTTTCTTCCAAACATACAATATTTGTAGGAATGGCATTTGTTTGCTAGTTATAACCAGGACACCTTTTTGTTTTTTAAAATCATATATATATTCCATTACTGCTATAACTATTAAGATACTTCATATACGCGTAATGGGTAACTGAGGAGAGAGAGTAAATTACTCTTGAACTTGCCCATCCTGCAGACTAAGCGCGGTTTCTGTTAAAGTTCATCCAAATGAAAGAAAGTACATTTGCTTTCCTTATCCTTCAAGGTAACTAACCCGAGTGACACGGCGACCGTCAGCATAGGCTTCTAAAAGCTGCACTTTGGAGTGAATAAAAGACAGATCTTCCTAGGGATGAAAATGTACTATCCACCTGATAAACTTCATCTCACTAAGACAGGCGAATGGTGCGGGGAGTGAGACAGAGGAGAGAAGAGAAGGAAGGAGATGCCAGAGAGATGTGAGGTCAAGGGCTCGAAGGGTAAAGGAAGGATCCTGCAGTCATTCTGGGATGTTTAATTCCTGCTGTTGCTATTACTTCCTCCTTTCTTCCATTTACTTAGAAAGTTTGTTGTTCTTTAAGCATAAAATGCTCAGAACATTCGGCAGTGGTGGATCTGCAGTCTTTGCTTTCTGCTTCAGCTCTTCCTTTTTTTTTTCTCCCTTTGAATATATAGGACCAAAGGTGCCTCTATTTTTGTAGATTCATAGACTGATCAAATGTTAGAGCTGGAAGGAGCTCAGGGAACATCTGATCCTGACCTAGCTGTGTGTTAGAGACGAGGAGCCTGAAGCCGTGGATCCCTGCTCTGGGCCCGTGTTTCCTGCTGCTATTTGGAGCCCATCCCGGAGCTAAGCCAGGGCTTCAGACTCTGGATTCACTCCATAGGGTCACAAAGTGGGAATCTTTGAATATAAGAAAATCCTAGAAGATTAGGGAATCCTGTATGACAGTGTAGGAGTAGCTGAGAGACCGCAGCCAGATACAGGGATAGATCCAAAAACTTTCTCAGTGGGTGTAGTCTTTCATCTTAGTGTCATTCCTCACTCTGTGTCTACTTCTCCGGACTTCCTGCAATGCCCTTAAGGAGAGGGTGTTGCGTAGTTAAATCCAGGGCACCCTCAATGCAAACATTACATTTCCTTCCAAATACATGCTTAAATAGGGCTTCAAGGCTTAGGCTAGTGATGATGAAGGATGAGCCAGCGACAGCAATGCACGGCCAGTTGCCCTGCCCACGATGTGTTCCCTCTGGGCGTATCTGCCATCACTACCATTGGTGAACCTCTACCTGGTTTAAATGCTAATCATAGCCCTAATCCCACCTCTGATCCAGACCAGGACCTGGTCCTCATCACCTCCTGGCTTTGCCAAATAAGTTTTTGGAAATTAACGACCTATAGTCATTAATGATGAGTGTTTCCTCTTTAATCAACACTGCTAAAAAAAAATAAAGTATTTGCTCCTTTATCAAATCCTGACTCCTTCTCTTTGCTGACCCCCTTCTTGTTGAAATTCAAATGAAACCACTACCTCAAATTAGAGAGGACAAAATGCCTACAGCTTAAAATTCATTCCAACTTCAAGGTGGCACACCTAAGAAGACTTACCTCAATGACCTTGAAGGTGAATTTTTGTTGAAATCAGAGGCTTTGCTTATGTTTGCCAGAATGATTACAAGCTTCAGAGACGGAGCCCGTTTAACTCTCTGGGATCCAGAGGCTGCAGCCACATAAGGAACAAGTCAGATCTTCCATGGGCTCCAGGATAAATTGGATCAGAATAACACACGGACGTTTCACAGAGCTGACTCTGGCTAGACTGTCCTGCTCATTTTTAGGGCTATGGGCAGCCAACTGGAAGTGTGTTCAAAGACTGTCTAAAGGAGCCTAGGACGAAAATGTCTATGATTCAGTCCTGACCACAATAAAGGGATTTTTTTAAGGAATGAGACAAACTAAACGTGGCTTCCAGCTTCCAGGGCCTGCATACTCTGTCACCTCTCTGGAGTGGCTGCTGGGCTGCTCCTCTTCCATTGGAGGCATCCAGGGATGTTTGACAGTCTTTCTGCCCGTTGCCTAGCAACCCCTGCAGCATTGATTATGCATGCTAAGAAATAGCAGCCATTGTCCTTTTTCCTTCTCTAGAAGGAGCTGAGTGGTTTGAAACCCAAGGCTTTGCATTCAGACTGACAGATGTCAGGTTCCTGTAATTTCTGGTGTCGCTTGCCCCAAATGATTTAAGAGCTTGAGGGATCCACAGGAACGGTTTAAGATGGAAGTGATCCTAAGGCATGTGCAGGGCACTCAAGGGCGCGTGGGGGCTGGCATGCCTCTCCCAGCAGAGTATCTGCTTATCTGGATCCAACCAGATTGCCCTTTTCCTGATATTTTTGGGTGACCTTTGTTTTTCAGTGCAGTGGATTTGTCAACATTTTTTCCCTTTACACTGAATTACAACTGAAGAACTTATTGAGAAGATAAGAAGCAAGAGAAACCAGTCTTTGATCAAAATGAGTTGCTTTACCTTTAAGTAACTCAATTGCCAAGGAAACGCTTCATGGCAGTTTTTCTGCATTAGCTGTGGATGCATCAGCTATTTTTGGCTCTATCCAACCTGCATTTCAATAGCTACAGTTCCAACAATGTTGCCTTGTACTATGAATGCTGCTGCTTTTTGTTTTTTAAATACAGCCACAGTGCGCTTTGTAGGATTCACGGCCCCTCCTCCCACTCGCCACTAACCCAGGTGTATTTCTAGAAACATAAAATGCTGAATACAAGAGAGACCTTAGAAATTGGATATATAACCCAAGTCTTATGTTTTACACATGAGAAAACCAAGACCCAGGGAAGTCGAGCGACTTCCTCAAGATGGAGGTGTACATTAAAGCAAGTCAGAGGTGCTGCACAGGAAGATGTGGCAAAATGAGCAATGGGAAATCTGCGTTCAGCAGACACTTTCTTCAGGAGCTAACTTAGACTTTTTGCTTTTCATGTTTCTGAATATCTTTTTGTTAATAGAGGAAATAATGATGATTTCCTTCACCAAGGATTTTGGAAGAGTTGATTGATAAACCCTCTGGCACATTACCATGAGGCAGCCCCAAAGTGACATCCAACACGTTGTTGCCATTCACGCATCTGGAGGGCCCCAGCCCAGCCCCTTGGTCCATGCAACTCCCACTAATCCATCAGCTCTCAGTTCAAGTTGCTCCTCTTTGGGGAGACCTCCCCTTGCCTGTTCCCAATCCAGGTCAGATCTCTCTATTATATGCTATTAAGGCAGCTATACTTGTCCTTTATAACATTAGTCAAGATTGTTAATTATATATGTATTTGTGGGCTTATTTAATTGCTGGCATAAATGTCTGTCGCCTCCATTAGAGTCGCATATTCTCATGGGCAGGAACCATGCTTTTTAGCACATTGCCCAATATGTGGTAGCATGTCATAAATTCTTGTTGAATGAATGAATGGATGGATGGATGGATGGACGGATGGATGGCTGGATAGACCATAGAAATAATAGACTTTTGAAGAAGTAAAGAGTTGGCAGTTGGCATTTATAGGTAAGAAAATGATTTGATGAGTTATTGATTTTCATAGAATTTTATAGCTGAGAGGAACTGTAAAGATGATATATATAGAATAATGTAATCTAAGGTGAAATCATTTTACAAATGATTGAATCACTATGCAGATATATAGAGCTATTATTAGTATTCTTTAGCTTAACTCCCACATTTTGCCAATGAGGAAACAAGAACCCAGAGAAGATAAATGACCAACCCAAAGTCACATAGCTTGAACAAGGTCACTTAATGTCACACCTAGGACTAAAGCTCAGGCTTCCTCATCAGTCCACTGTGCATCCTGAGCCACATTTTCATTTATTGAGTTTTACACGTGCCCTGGTAAAACAACTGAGGAAATTCAACACAATGCCACTTACCACGTAATATAAAGGAGTGTGCTGGTTGTGCCTATTTGTATGTAAGCAGGAGAGACGATTTCACGTTTTCCCAAGTGTAAATATAATTCAAGAGAAGGTGGAAATAAGGGAAACTGGATTCTAGAATGAGTGCCC